ACACACACAGATACCTTTTTATCACTAGCCCTGTACTCGCTTTCGATTCCATCATCAGTCTTTGTCCTCCCGTTTATTTCCATCCTCACCCTGCGCCTGGCTCAAATCTTCACCTCCATCCCTCCACCTCCAGCCCCTTCTCCATCCATAAACCTCCATCCCTCTTCTTCTATTCCTCCACCTCCACCCTCCCCCCACCTCCATCCCCCAACCTAAATCCCTATATTTTTATCCCTTCACCTTTACCCCCCCAACCTCTATCATCCTACATCCATCCCTCTACTTCGATCCCCCTACCTCCATCCCCCAACCTTCTTCTCTCTACTTCTATCCCCCCACCTCCACCCCAACCTCCATCCCTCTACTTCTATCCCCCCCCCCCCCCCGCTGCTCTTTTATTTTGATTTTCCATTTCTTTCAGATGCGATGTGTGAATGCTTCAGTCGCAGCCCATGCATGAAGTGTCATGAGTGTGAAAGCTTTTTACTAAATCAAGGACAAAGAACCGTAATTTTGGCTGTTGATTGCTTTTGTTTTAAGGGGTTTTTTTAATGTGAAATTTTTGATTGCTCACAAGGCTTCTTAAATTGTTCTGTTTCTTTATCAGCATTTTATTTTTTGGCCATACTTATGCTGCCATGATAAGTCACTTTTTAATCTTTTTTTCCCCCACTTTTTCTGTTAGGAAATTTTTTTTTTAGATATGTGAATAGTCCTTTGTATATATACGTGTGTGATTTTATTGTGGGGGGTGGGAGGGGGGATTTATTACCTTTTAAACTTGTACACAAAAAATGGTTGTCGTGGTACAATGAACCACCCAGTCAAATGATCAATCCTATTTCCCCTGAACTCTCCCTGACCTGCGTCTCGTCTCCAGCTTCAGCAACCTGTTCAGCTCCTCCAACAAGCCCAAGCGCCCGTTGCCGACGGCGACGGTCAAGTACAACGCGCCCACCACCCAGGTACAGCCCGTGGGCGACCCCAACAAGAAGCAACGCGACAAGGGAAACTCCAACCCCAAGTCCAAGGCCTACGACTTTCTGCAGGAAGATCTGTGAGTTTGTCTTTCTCTACGCCCTTGTTGGTGGTTGGCGGGTGCTCTGGTGTGGTCTGCTCCTTCTTTACCATCGAACGTCTTCTCTTTTTTTAGAAATATGTTTTTCTCTAGTATCACCTCTAATCTGTGGCACTTGTACAACCTAATTGTGTTGAAAGTGTGGTAAATCTTTTACTAAAACTTACAAAAAAGAAGTGAAGGAAAGGATGACAAGGTAGAGACAGACAGGAGGGGAGGATGTGATGAGAGACAGAAGGAGAGGTGGTATCAACATAGAGATGTGCAGAAGGAGGGAAGGGTATCAAGATGGAATAGACAGAAGAAGAGAGTATCGAGATCAAGATAGAAATAGACAAAAGGAGGAGAGAGTGTCTAGAAAGAGATAGACAGATGGAGGGGAGCTTCAAAATAAAGGTGGGTAAATTTGACCCTGTGGTTATTCCTGTGTCTACAGAACATCAGAGAAAGCCAAGAAGGAGCGCGAGCGTGAGCGCAAGGAGCAGTACAAGCAGGTGCGGGCGCACGTGAAGAAGGACGACGGTCGCATGCAGGCCTACGGCTGGAGTCTCCCCGCCAAGTTCTCCACACACGTGCCCCGCGACACCCCGGGCAAGTCGCAGGTCCCAGTGCCGGTACCTGTCTACTGCCGGCCTCTCTTTGATAACCAGACAGGATGGAAGGTGAGGATTGTGATACCTCTGTTGAGGAGTGTTTTGGGGGGAGGGGGGGTTTCTTTGTCAGTTAAAATCTGTCATTTCGGGCTCATGTGATGGCAGGGGGGTGAGAAAGAAAGGGAGAATGAAGTAGAAGGTGAAAAAAAAAGATGAATTGTAGTAGTAAAATAAAAAAAGGGAGGGGAAGAGCTGGAGAAAGAAAGGAAAGAAAAAAAAGGAAGGGAGGGGACGAATAGTTGGAGAAAGAAAAGAAGAAAAAAAGAGAGGAGATGAAGAGTAAGAGAAGAAGAAAAGGAAGTAGTAGAAGAGTGGGAGAAGAAGAAAAGTAGTAGATGAAGAGTAAGACGAGAAGAAGAAAAGAGAGGAAATGGAAGAGTTGGAAGAGAAGAAGAAGAGGGAAAGGGGGTGAAAGAGAAGGAGACTGGACGAAAGGAAATGCAAAGTAATATAAGAAGTAAAAAAGGGAGAAGATGAAAGTGTAGAAGAAGGAGAATTTCATGGGGAGGAGATGGAAGAGGAGAAGTAGAAAAGGAATGAGATGAATAGTACCAGAAAAACGTGACTGTATTAGTGCGTTGTGTTGTCCTTGTGCCCAGATCTGGTGTGCGGCCGGTGTGAACCTGACAGGTGGCAAGACGCGTGATGGGGGAAGTATTGTCGGCGCCAGCGTGTTCTACTCCGACCCTCCCTTGGAGGTGGAGGAGGCAAAGACAGATGTGGACAAACTGGACAGGGAGCTCAAGGTGAGGAATTGACAGGTGGTTGGAGGGCGCAACTGGACGAGGGGGTTCTGCTTCTTTTTTTTCCCCTCTGTTGTTTCTGTCTGTCTGTCTTTCTTATTCCCTGTGCTATTTTACATTATTGTTATTTTGTTGATTTGCCTATCTTTGCTCAAACTGTGAGAAAGTGTGTGTGTATGTGCGTGTGTGCATGCATGCTTGTATGTGTGTGTGGTGCTGTTAATGTTATAGGGGGTGGGGGTAATCATTGTGATAATGCTCTTCAATCTATGTTAGCCTTTGTTCTTTATTTCTTTTACTCTCGTTAGTTTGCTTTTTTGCTTTTGCTGTCAGTCTGTTGGTCCGGACCAAAAATTGTCGATGATACAATGTGCTGTCACTCGAATAATAAGCCTTCAATTGTCGAAAGTTCTTGCAAGGAAAGAAGACATTATTATGTCTTTTTTAAAAACTTTACCAATGGATTTGGAGGACTGAAAGGAAATGAAGTATTTATTTAGGGGATGTGAAAACGACCTACTCCGTGTCCTCCTGGTAGAAGGGGGTAAAACGACACACTTCTTTTTGTTCTGGTAGAAAGCGGTAAACGGAAACAGCACTGAATGTGTCATTCTGCCCAGTAGGAGTTAAAATAAAAAGATGTATGTTCTAAACTCGGTGTTCTCACCTCTTTCTCTGTCTCTCCGTCCGTCTGTCTGTCTGTGTGTCTCAGGATCATGAGAAGAGCGTGAAGGACGCGGACAAGGAGGAGATGTCGAGCCTGGTGTGGGTGTGTACCTCGACCCACGAGGCCAGTCGCGTGTCGGTGGTGGATGCCAACAACCCGGCAGACGTGCTCGAGACGTTCCGGGTGTCCGTCTCTCACATCCTCTGCATCGCCAGTATCCCAGGTACGACCAACTGTCCGCCTTGATATCTGTTTGTTAATGGGTGGTTGGTTGGCGAGTGCTCTGGTGTGGTTTGCTTCTTCTTTCCTATCAAAAGTCTATTATCTTTATCTCCCCTTCATCTTTTTTATTTTTGTTACTCTCTTGTAACACCTCTAATCTTCTGGAGCTCATATGACCGTATGCAGTTGCGAGCGCTGTAAAACCTCTACTAAAACTAAAACTATCTCCCCTCCTGCTTTTTTGTGTTTGTTACTCTATTGCAACACCTCTAATCTTCGACACTTTTTTGACGTTATTGTGTTGTAAGTGCCGTAAAACTCTTACTAAAACAAAAAATGATCTGTTTGTGCTGTCGATCTGTCAATAGCTGAACCTGCTCTAATGGCAGTGGGTGGTTGGCAGCTGCTCTGTTGTGGTTTGCTCAGTCTTTCATGTAAGAAATCTATCATCTTTTTCTCTCTTCCTTCTTTTTTGTGTTTGTTGCTCTCTGCTGTAACACCTCTTATCTTCGGCACTTATATATGCTGTAAAACTCTTACTAAAACCCCAAAAATTCTCTGTGGGTGGTTGGCGGGTGCTCTGGTGTGGTTTGCTTCTTCTTTCCTATCGAACATCTATCGTCTTTATCTCCCCTCCTTCTTTTTTTATGTTTGTTACTCTCTTGTAACACCTCTAATCTTCGGCACTTATATGACCTTATTGTGTTGCAAGTGCCGTAAAACTCTTACTAAACTAAACTAAAACTTCTCTAACAGCGACCTGTATGAGACGACCTCCTGCACTAATGGCCACTTCCCATTTCCTTCTTTGCCAATTGTTTACCTTATCATGACACTGTGTAAGGCAAGCACCTGTCTGATACCGCCTCTTTTCTCCTCGATAATAGATGACCGTTTCAGACAATTTCCACTATTTCATCATCGTCATTGCCTTTCTCATCCTGCACCAGGGTATAGGCCACGGACAAACAACCTTCCTCCTTTCTCTATCCTGGGCTAGCCTCTCGATGTTACTCCATGTCTTCCCTCTTTTTTGTTCATGTTCATCGATTTCTGTGATTCTTCTCCAGGTTCCACGCGGTCTTCCCTTTGGTCTCTTACCCTGTAGGTTCCAATCCAAAACTTTTTTTGTTATGCAGCTGCCTGACTTCCTGAGTTCAACTTTTTAAATTGGGTTTTTTTTTTAAATCTCTGTAGAGATAGGGAAAGTGGATAGTAACACCTCTATATCTTCAGATGTTTTTGTTCTGAGTGAAATGTGACGGTTATCATGCTGACTCACCATGAAGTACAACTCAACTGGTGACAGACACAGGAAAAAACAAAACAAAACTGAACGAACGGCGTAACAAATGTGTTATTTATTTGACACGTTGATGTTTTCATGGTCAGGTGCCGCTGAGGGTGACTACCCGGTAGCAGATGAGATCTTGAATGCCGAGGCCCCTCCCAGCCTGCCCAAGGTCACGGTGGTGTCCACAGGCTCCAGCCCGACCAATGGCTCCGAGTCGACGGGTCTTGGAGGGGTGACCTTTGTCCAGTGTGCCACGGGCGGTTCGAGCCCTGTCAGTGCCTCGCCTGTTGGCTCACTCAGTGACACCAGATGTAAGTGTATGTGTATGTGTGTTATTGTGTGTGTATGTGTAATATTCCATTGTGATAAAGTGTCCACTCTTTCTTCTTGTTTTCCATTTTTTCATATGCTTGTACACGTATTTTTGTATCCTTTCTATGGTTGGGTGGAGGAAAACGGTATTGCTTACTACACATTGTTCCTTTTTTTAAAAACACAACTCTTTCGAAATTTGATTCGTTATGAGATTTGATGCCTTCTCAGTCGTGTTTAGTGAGGTGTCGGTATCGAAATGTTGGGACTTCTACAGCAAATATCCTCCCAGCACTTTTTCTTACTCCTCTTAGTTCTTTCTTTTAAGCTTTTATCTGTGAGATCTCAACAGAAATTTACTTAAATTAGTGAAAGAATTTCTGACCCAGTAGGATATTGTCCAAACTCTTATACCATCTGCAGCATACCACCAGTTTAGCAAGTAGTTGGCATGAGTTATAAAACCTTTAATTTGCAAGAGATTTTAAAATTGTTTTTTTATCGTAGATATTTCTAAGCATGGTTTCGTGTTGACAGGTTTTTAACCAGTGTAATCAACGTGAAGAACAGTTGTTTGCTTTCACAGTCAAGATTTAAAATCATCAGAATGTGCTATTATTCACAGATTGGAGTAAATAGTAAAAATGTTCCTTTGTTCGAGATGTTTGTATATTGTATAGGCAGATCTGTCATGTTTAGTTTTGACGCAACAAAAAAAAGACGTGTACATAATTTTAGTGTAACGCAAATCGCATGTCACTATGCCAATGTTACTGTTAATGGTGATGGGATGTGGTCTATTCAACCTATAGTGTGTACCTTAAAAATATATTATCTTTTTGATAACCTGTATGTTTTTTAGCTTTATTTTTCCCCCTCCCATCAGTGTTTGGTCTCTGTATCTTTGTAATTTTAATATCTTAAACCCATATTTTGATGATACGTTTGGAAGGTGCTCTGAGGTTGCTGTCCTCTTGTTTGATTTCTGGGTACTTACATGTTCTAACAGTGTTCAAAGTACTTTGTTATACTCCTTAACTCCTCTGAACTTCTTGACACCCTAAGAAAATATTGATATCTTTAAAAAAAAATTATAGTAGAGGGTTTTACGGCGCTCGCAACTGCTTAAGGTCATATGAGCGCCAAGGGGTGGATGTCAACAGAGAACAGGGAATCAGACTTACTCTGCTCACCTCTCTAGCTTCAACAGCACAGGGGCTGCTTCGACTATCAAGGCACCCTGGAAGTAGCAGGTCACAAGAGAGTGACAAACATACAAAAGAAATAGAGGAAAATGACAATAGTAAGGATCAGGAAAGAAAAAGCAGCAGTTCCCTGTTGTAGATCAGGCACAGTTATGAGCGTGACGTGAATCAGCCCATTTACAATTCTACTGTGCTTGAACGAGAAATGTCCCCCCTTTGGGAATGGCCTAAAGACACTACAGTCAGTGGCACTGTCCCGGGGAGAATTGATATCTTTGCTAGTACATTTCTTATCCAAACTTCTGAAAGTAACACAGGTTGTGTTGTAATAGTTACGCTCTTCATGGCTTCGCTCAGAAAGACAGAGATCCTAAATACTTTCCGTGCTTGAAGAACTCCACTGTCTTTTGTGTGCATTAGACCCGACATACAGGATTGAAGAAGCCTATTCGTCCTTATCTCCCCTCCTCCTTTTTTGTGATTGTTTCTGTCTTGTAACACCTTTAATCTTCGTCACTTATATGACCTTATTGTGTTGCAAATGCCGTAAAACAATTACTATAACAAACAAAGAAGCCTGTTTCACTTCAATATAAACCGTCATTATGTCTTTGCACCCCTTCTGGTATTCACCATGTCAATCCTGTCCTAGCTTCCTCTTTCTCTTGCCTTTGTTTCCTCATTTGGTGTCATGATTTCCTCCATCATCTAGCGGATGTAGCCAGTTTGAAGGGAGAGGATACTGATAGTGTAAAGGGTAGTGTTGGTGGTGGTGATAACGGATCCGATGCCAAGGAAGGTAAGAAAGTTGTTCTGCTTTTAAATATAAAAAAAAAGAGTCAAAACTGAGTGTGGTAGGGGAGTCACTTTCCATTTTAAAACATGAATTATTTGTTTATTTTGGGGGTTTTCCTGTTAAAAAAGTTGATTTTATTGAAAACTTGTTCACGTAAAGAGAAAATATCTTCCGAAGGTTGGGAAGAATTCAAAATGTATTTTATGTAAGGGATCATTGGTTTGTAGTTGTTGTTTTTTTTTCCCTCAGGAGAAGCTTTTCTTGGCTCTTGAGCTGATTTTTTCTTCCATAGTCAGATGTTTTCCCATCAGGGAATAAACTCTCAAAACGAAGGAGTTTGTAAATTAACTTTTGTTGTATGTTAATTATGAAATCTAACTAAGACCTCCAATTTTGACTATGTTGGTTTTATTTGTTTGAAATGGAAAGTCACTCCTTTCACCCATCAATGCTTGTGCTCGGAGCGTTTAGCTGCCAGCATGAGAGACGTTTTGCACCCACGACTCCCTATTGGATTCTTGTCTGTTTTTTTGTCAAATCACCAGCTTGCCGCAGTAGTTGTTGTAGTTGCTTGCTTCTCAGCTGTTGTTTCTCTTGCAAAATTTCTTCCCAAAGACTTTTGTGTAAATGTATTTTCACATATACATATAGTCGCTGTAAGGACAAGCGGGCTAACCCAGATTTCGGGGGTTTCCACATGTCTTGACCTACACCAAAAGTGGGCATTGCCCTTCCTATAGGAGAAGTTTGGTTCCATTGGTGTGTATATTTGTTTGGTTATAGAAAAAATTCTCCTTGTCTTTTAAAGAAACTGAACAAGGGGCAAAAACGTTACCTTCGATTTTCTAAAAACAGCATTTTTCGTGATAGCCCCCTTGTGCTTAAAAGTGACCATATATACCGAGGGAGTGACATATACAGTCGAACTTGTCCTAGACGGCCACTCGTTGTGAAGGAAAAAAGTGGTCGTCTTAAACAGGTGGACATCTTAGAGTCATAATATTTTTTTTTACGCTAGAGGGGCAGCGGGAAGTGGTCATTTGTACAGGTGATTGTCTTGGACAGATGACCTTTAGAGCAGGTTCGAGTGGGTGGTTGGCGGGTGCTCTGGTGTGGTTTTGCTTCTTCTTTCCTATCAAACATCTATCGTCCTTATCTCCCCTTCTTCTTTTTTATGTTTGTTACTCTCTTGTAACACTTCTAATCTTCGGCACTTATATGACCTTTGTGTTACAAGTGCCGTAAAACTCTTACTAATACATACATGCAGGTTCGATTTTTTATATCTTTATATACGAATCTGTGTTTGGTAGACTTTGCTGTTTGGGGGCATTTGAGTAAGAAGAGGATAATGTGTGTGTGAAGGATAATAGAAGTTTTTGACAGGGATTCATGTAGTTTTAAGTAAAATGCACTTTGCTATATAGCGATGCTATCGGTATTGGTCTTCAATGACTTTAAATGACGTGGCAAAAATGAAGAAGATATTTGATACCCCAAGAGTGAAGAACATGAATATTGTCACTGCCAGTAAGGTCAGATTGTGAACAGTTTGTTTTAGTAAGACTAAAAGTTTTTAAGCACTTGCAACACAAATAGGCCTTTCTTATAAGTGCCGAAGATTAGAGGTGTTACAAGAGAGTAACAAACAAAGAAACGAAAGAAGAGAGATAAGAATAATAGATGTTTGATTGGAAAGAAGGAGCAAACCACACTAGAGCACCCGTCAACCACCCACTTATGAATGGTTTAGCAGAAATGGGGAGAGTGGTGTGGGTGGTTGGCAGGTGCTCTGGTGTGGTTTGCTCCTTCTTTCCCATCAAACATCGTCCTTATCTCCCGTCCTTCTTTTTTATGTTTGTTACTCTCTTGTAACACCTCCAATCTTCTGGCGCTCATATGACCTTATGCAGTTGCGAGCGCCGTAAAACCTCTACTAAAACAAACACATCTATTCTTCGGCACTTATCTGACCTTATTGTGTGGCAAGTGCTGTACAACTCTAAATAAAACTTTTTTTAAAAGGAGAATGGTGATTAAGCTGGCCTAGCGCTGGATAGAGTGCTAGCATCCTGTGTGATCACACACACGTGATCTGACTGCTGTGTCATGTGTGTCGTCCTCTGTTTGTGTGCGTTCTCTGCTGTCATTCTGTATGATCACACACACATGATCTGACTGCTGTGTCATGTGATCTGACTGCTGTGTCATGTGTGTCGTCCTCTGTTTGTGTGCTTTCTCTGCTGTCATTCTGTATGATCACACCCATGTAATCTGACTGCTGTGTCATGTGTGTCGTCCTCTGTTTGTGTGCTTTCTCTGTTGTCATTCTGTGTGATCACACACACGTGATCTGATTGCTGTGTCATGTGTGTCGTCCTCTGTTTGTGTGCGTTCTCTGCTGTCATTCTGTATGATCACACACACATGATCTGACTGCTGTGTCATGTGATCTGACTGCTGTGTCATGTGTGTCGTCCTCTGTTTGTGTGCTTTCTCTGTGCACTTCCAGGCAGCCAATGGTCCATTTTAGACGAGTATGTTGTTTTAGCTGACCCCACAGGTTAGTCACGTTTCTCCGTGTTTTCCCCTTTCCTTTGATGTCCTCACCTTTGTTCCTACTACGTTCATAGACTTTTCCTCAGTGTGCCAGAGAAAGCTGCTGTGTGTTAAGCATTGTTCTTAACCACTGATCAAAGCAAAAAATAAAAAGGCTAATTAAGTATTTAGTCTTGTCTTTTGACCAAAGCTGGAATAAACACTAAGATAAAAGGTAACGGAAAATGTTTATAGAAAATCTTATGAAGAAACAGCAACAAGATTGATGTCTACATTTAATGAGGCTTGGATAATGATTTTCCTTTCCAAATGATTAATGACAAAGCAATTTGAGTTTTATCAATAATAATTAATGATCATAAACAAAGCCAGTTAAGATGTAGCTTCTGTCAACAGTTAATGAATAAACAATTGTATATCATGGTGGATTTAAAGCCTGTGCAATATTGACTAAGATGATAAGATGCAGTGCTTTGCCTCATGGTAAAAATCAGTTATGCCAGTTAGAGTAGAGGAAGTGGGGGCTAGCGTTTATTGCCCCAGTGGAGCTCCCAATGTGGAAGAAAATGAGGCATGTGTAAAAAAAAAAAAAAAAGAAACGAAAACGGAATATTTGTTGTCCTTAACAGTTGTTATTTTATCAAATTTATCCGGGTCACAGTGGGGTGCCTTGTCATGTGTGTGAATGCTTCAGGAGATATAAAAAAAATAATTACAGTATTGAACATTGGTTTCCTTTGTTGGTCCAATTTTGAACACATTCCCTGAAATTAATCATTTTTTTGCCAGTAGCTCAATTTTGATGGAAGTGTGACTTACCTCCAGTCTTTGACCTACAATATGAGGAGAATGTTTTCTATTTTTGACAAAGTTGGCAGCCACACGTATACCGGTAGTTTTCCCACATGTATTTCATCCTCTCAATGAACCAGGCTTGCTGGATCACGTACTTCTCAAGCGAAAATGTTTTGTTGTTTCTGCTAACAGTTATATATAGTCTCCGCTTTGTTTGTGTGGATTGTCTACCTCAGAGAGTATTCCAAGTTTGTGTAGACTGTCTCACTTTGCCCTGAAATGTTGCATGAACTAACTTTTTCCCTGCAGTACAATATGTAGTGCGTTGCAAAGCCCCTTGCTCTGTGCGGTGGCTCATAGCTTAGTGCATTGAATTGTGTTGTGTTGTACCTTTGCATTTAGGCTGTAGGCTATAAGCTAGCGCGACACTCTTGTAAAAGAACCTTGTATAAATATGTGGTTTTGATTTTATTCAGCTAAAATGTTTCCTTAGGTGGTCTTCTAGGTTACTTTGAGTCTTGAAATTACGAAGGTTGCTCAAAAGTGAGGCTGTCTTAATGGTACTTTGCTATTAGGCCATTTCGTTTACTGCTGCAGTTTCACTGATCACTTGTCGTCTAGTTTGAACATAATATAATGGCTTCTAACCATCAAAAAGCAAGTCTCGCTCGAAAGCAAATTATCAGTGTAAGAGAAAAGTAACAGGGAAAGCAAATCTACCCGGATGAGAGTGACAGATGAAGTGATTTCCATTCTGAATTTACAACATAAATACTTTCAGAAAAGATATCTCTCAAATATTGTATAGGACAATTTCTGTCTGTGTAAACACATTTTTCATCTAACTTGCGACTTTGCAATATGATATTATATACTTTGTTCTTTGTTGACTTTTATAAAATGTTATATTCCCCTTGTCATTCAAGTCTTCATCGTAAAGAATTGACAATTTTTTAAATGACTAAATTGGAGAAACAATTGTTTCTCTTTATGAATAATTATTTGGGGGGGGGGGGGGGGGTCTTTTGACCATGTGCGTCAGTAAATTGAAATAAATAATTGAACTGAATCAAATGTTTTGAAAGAGAGGGGGGAGTATTTGATGGTTGAATGTTGGTTCATATTTTTTGTTGTTGAGGGGTTTTTTTTCATGGGGGGGTTAATGTTACTACCTTGGTCTTTATTTTGCTAGTCCATTGCATCATAAAATATCATCGTCTGTGTCTCAGACTAGATGTTGGAAGACATTTTCTTCTGTGAAATACAAACAAGGTCCAAAGGGTGCACTGATAAAATATAATGCTTTCAGGTTTGAGAGCTAAGAAACTGGGTAAAGCTCTAAGTCCCATGAAGTTTTTAGAAAATGAGGTAGAGGTTGCATCTTGTCTCACTAACAATCCTACTGTGTCGACTAACTGGTTGATGCTTATGTTCACCCGTTTGTCTGCTACCCTCACTACTAATGTGTTTATAGTTTGTGTTTTCCTTGTTGAGATTTTGTGGCTAAGCATTAAGTTTACTTCATGTAGTTTGAATTGTGAGCTCTGTGCTTTTGTTGTTTAATCTTACCTTGGGTTTTACTTTGATAATGTTTAATGTTGGCTTGTTATGTATTTAGATATTTGTATGTCCAGTTTTCTATCAAATATAAGAGTGTAAAAATCGAAAGTTCTCAAAATTTGGGGTTAAGTGGATTGCTTGTGACAGTGACAATATGGTTTAAAATGTCGTGGGGTAAGGGTGTGGGTCTCACGGAATTGAGGACTTCTAGGTAAAGTTTAAAAAAAATATTTTACCTTCCTCCAGTTGTGCCCCTGCTTATACGCTTTCTGTTGCAGAACTGATAATATCAGTCCACATACAGGCTGTGATTTTTAAAAATCTACTTCATGCTTTCAACCCTCATGTTACTTCTGTAAAGTAGTATTTGCAGTTTGTTTTTAGCATACATTCAATCTTGATGGGTACCCTAAGGGGAGACACTGCGAAGAAAATAAAACCTTTTGAAAGTGCAGCTGAAATACAGTTTTGAGTGATTTGCTCATGATAGTCTTCGGCACTTACATTTATGTAACATATTTGTGTTGCAAGTGTGCTGTAAAACTGTGTAAACTAGCTAAAACTAAAAGCACCCCCTCCCCTCTCCTCCCCCTCTCTCTTGCCTCCCTCCCCTCCCTTCTCCCTCCCTTCCCCTCCCCTCTGCTTCTGTCCCTCCCCTCTCCTTCTGTCCCTCCCCTCTCCTCCTCTGCCCTCCCCTCCCTCCCCTCCCCTCCTCACAGATGGTGACCCACTAGGTGCGGCGGCCCAGGAAGAGATCTCCCAGCCACAAGTGTTCCGTGCCAAGGGCTCCCCGGCTTCCTCCGGCTCCAACACCCCAACCCACACCTCACGCCTGCCTGACGGGAATTCTGCTCCAGAGCTGGTTAGTCTGTGTGTCTATATGTGTGTGTTGTGAGGGTGGGTGTGTGTGTGGGATAGATGGGTGCTGCGGCTCAGCCACAAGTGTTCCGTGCCAAGGGCTCCCCGGCTTCCTCCGGCTCCAACACCCCAACCCACACCTCACGTCTGCCAGGTGCTCCAGAGCTGGTCAGTCTGTGTGTCTGTTTGTGTGGTTGTGTGTGGGTGGGTGGGAGTAGGTGTTTGTGTGTGCGGGAGTCTGTGTGTGGGTGTGTGTGTGTGCATGGATATGGGTGTTTATGTGTGTGTATGTTGGGGAGTGAGTGTGAATGGGTGGGTGGTTGGTCGGTGCTCCAGTGTAGATTGCTCTTTCTTTTCTATCGAACATCCACATCCAATGTCCTTGTCTCATTTCCTTCTCTTCTTTGTATGTTATCCTATTGTTACACCTCTGTTCTTCGACACTTACGTGACCTATTTGTATTGCAAGTGCCGTTAAACTAAACTAAACATAACATATAAATGTTATTGTAATTTTGTCAGTACATGATTTGCTTACTTGAGACTTATTTCCCAGTGGGTGGTCGGCGGGTACTCTGGTGGGGTTTTGCTCCTTCTTTCCTATCAAACATCTATCGTCCTTATCTCCCCTATTTCTTATTTCTGTTTGTTACTCTCTTGTAACACCTCTAATGTTCTGGTGCTCATATGACCTTATGCAGTTGCGAACGCCGTAAAACCTCTACTAAAACAAAAGAAAAACTTATTTCCCTCCTTTTACCCCCAGGTACAAGATGGTCAGTCGTCCCTGTCTGGTGACCACGACTTCCAGTCCAGCGAAGCGGAGGGTCTGAGCAGTGTCCTGCCCACCATGTGGATGGGCTCCCAGTCAGGAAGGTACGTGCCCACCACTCTCGCTAGTTGCTTTGGTGGTTGGTTTGGCGGGTGCTCTGGTGTGGTTTGCTCCTTCTTTCCTATCAAACATCTATCGTCCGTATCTCCCTTCCTTCTATATTGTGTTCGTTACTCTCTTGTAACACCTCTAAACTTCGGCACCCAAATAACCTTATTGTGTTGCAAGTGCCGTAAAACTTTTTCTAAAACGAAAACGTTGTTTTGGGTTGTTTTTTGTTGACAGTTTTAAATTGGCGAAAATATTTTTTCAGTTGTTTAAAGGAGCACTTGGTTCCTGGACAGATCACTGGACTCCCGAGAACAGATTCTTAGGAAAGATGAAAGAAAATTCCCTTCCCACTTGGTTTTAAAACTCATATCGCTGCAACACTACAATTCCCTTTCTAATTTGGTTGAAAATTCATAGCCAACAATTCCCCTTCCCTCAGTGGTTTAAAACTCGTATGGCTACAACTTTATAGTCTCAGGTTTTTAACAAATCCTGCTTTGTGTACTCTGAGCACACTTTTTCCAAGCTCATTTTTTGTCTGTGTCCTAATGCACTCACCAAGCCACAGTCTTCAAATGGGAGCTCTCGTGGCCTAGAGGTTAAGGTGTTGGCCTCTCATTCAAAGGTCCCGGGTTCGAATCCGGGTAGCGACCGACTTCTCTAAAATTGTCTCCTTTCACCCCCTTTCCTGCTCTCTAGCAATGTTCTGCTGTCTGCTTTCAATTCCACTTTCTGCCCCCACCCCCTCACCTCCTTTGCCCCCTCCTCTGGGCTCCTGACTCTTTCTGCAGCCTT